CACTCTCTCTCTCTCTCTCTCTCTCTCTCTCTCTCTCTCTCAAAAACAAACAAACAACACCAAAAAAACCCACACCAAAAAACAAAGCAGAGGAAGCCGGCGAGAGTGTGAGCGGTCCCGTTGCGTTTGGTGAGTGAAGTGTGGAGGGGTCCTGGGAGCGGGGACGCCCGATTTGGAGCGGGAGGCGGTGGGGTCACGCTTGGCTGTGCCGAGAGCACCTTGAGGGGGTTGGGGGCCACGAGGCTGGGAGTGGGGCGAGGCCTGGGGTAATGGGGGCGAGGTATAGTTGGGGGCTCAGGCTGGACCGCGTGGTTCAGGGAGTTTGGGGGTGGGTGGGGTCCAAACACAAGGCCTGACGCCCTGTCGGGTGAGGAGAGACGGAGCCAGCGCGGAGGTGAGGCAGACGTTTGTGCAGTGCATGGTGGCCGGGAGGGAGGACTCTCGGATGGGACCGTCAGGAGTGACTCGCGGAGGGGCTGGGGCCGGAGCGGGGCCGAGCGGCGGGTGAGGACTGATCGGGAAGCCGAGCGCTCGGGCCATGGAGTCCTGACAAGGTCACGGGGAGAACGAGGGCGAGGAAGGTGAGAAGGTGGAGAGGAGGGCGTAAAAGCCCACGACCTTCCGGTCCGCGCCTCCTCCTCTCCCGGACCCTGTGTGCCCTCCCGCCCTCCGCGACCCTCGCCGGCCCTCGGGAGGGGACGAGGCCTCAGACCGGGTTTAAAGCATCTGGGACGGAATTGGCACCTCTTCCGGTTAGAGATTACAAAACACAGCCTGCGTTTGGAAGGGAGCAGCCGAGATGATTCGGCAGTGCTGCTCGCCCTTCTCTCTTCATTGCCGGTGTGGGGAGCAGCTCCCCCCCCCCTCCCCGGACTAATCCTGCCAAAGGCTCTTGGGAGCGGGACCGGTTTGAATGAAAAGCTGTGAGTGAGGGATCGGAGTACCGGGCCCGGCGTGACGAACCTGTTTGAGTCCCGTGTACCAGGGCTGCTCCTAACCCCGTGCACCAGTCACTGGAGGGGGTGGGAGCTTCTGCAAATGCACTCTCCTGGGTCCTCACCCCCTGGAGTCAGAGTCCTCAGGGTGGGGCCCTGGCAGCCATTTTTCGACAAGCTGGCAGGTGACCGATGCAAAATCAGAAACGGAGGTGATTGTTGTTAGATGCCGTTCTTGAGGCCCGAGTGGCAGCTGTGGAGGTCCGGCAGCCCAGCCTGTTGCGTCACCGGAGGCTGGGCAGCTCCTCTCCCCTTGCGCCAGACTCTCCCAGGTTCCTGTGCATTTGCAAAGGTCTTCAGGGGGAGTGGTGTCTTGCTCAGCCGACAGTGCTTCGTGTTTGTTAGACGGGCTTTGAGTATCTGGTTGCTAGTGCCTCTTTTTCACACCTGTTCGACTTTCTGTGGGCAATCGGTGTCAGTTGCGGTGTGTGGATGAGGAAATGATGAGGGGAATCTAGGCGTGCTAGTGGAAAGTACATCTTTTCAAATCACAATTGTGAAATTGTCAGATAAGAAGCTGGGGAAGAAGGTTCCATTTAATGTTAGGCATGAAAAAAAACACACACACAATATACACACACATACTTTTTTACAATTCAAGGAAAGAGATGCAGACTTCTGTTATGGAATGGATTTCAGTATTTTTCCAGATTAAAATATACCAGCATCAAAAGATGGGTGGTTTGGCAATATATTGTCAATCACAGGAACCCTGGACTCTGTCAGGAGAGCTTGGTTCTAGTCCCACCCTGCCAGAAATGTATGCCTGTTGTTGAGCAGTTCCTATAAGCCTTCCTAACCCTTTTTCCATCTGGAAAATAAGGCTGTTTGCATTCATCATGAGTTGTTATTTTCAAATTATATGATTTATAGTTACTGACCCTGGTACTTTAAATGTTAACCATGTTCAGTTTAGGTGGCTGTAAATCATGAATACTTGGGAAACTTCTAGGTGGTAATTAGAAAGAATTATAAAAATCTTATATTCAGAGTGTTATAAATATAACACAGAATTTATAAGACAGTATAAAATATAATTTAAGTGTTGGATTTTTAATGTTTCTGTTAATATTATCCTGAAATGTTCACACAAAGTATCCTGGATCAGACAGATTATCTAGTCACTTAAAGCAAATAATGACCATATGATTCTTACCCAGGGACTACTTTCTGAAAGCCAGGTGAAATATCCTTCCCACACAAACTTCAGAGTCTGTATCATAGGTGAGGAATGGAAGTCAGTGGATTTTCTTCTGTTCTGTTATATATGCAGGAGGGAGACAGCCAGCCCTCAGCCCTCTCCCTCCTGAAAGTATGGGGGTTAGGGGGAGGGGGAGAGTGAGGAGGGAGGCTTTTGCTCCATTGCCCGTGGACAATTAGTGATCCAGATGTGAGAATGTAGAGCAAAAACTACCTACTTTCTTGCTCTTTAAAAAATATATATTTTTATTGATTTTAGAGAAGGGAGAGGGGGGGATAGAAACATCAATGATGAGAGGGTATCATTGATTGGCTGCCTCCTGCATGTCCCACACTGGGGATCAAACCCCAAACCCCAACATGTGCCCTGACAGGGACTCAAACCATGACTTCCTGGTTCATAGGTCCACGTTCAACCACTGAGCCATGCCAGCCCGGCCTACTTTCTTGCTTTTAAAGACAATTCCCGAATGACTTCTTAGTTTAGGAATAATTAAGGCAAAGGAAGAAAACATGCTTTTATAGCTGCAAAAGAAGGTGCTAGATTTTAAAAGTAGATTGTGGTATATAATAGTTTTGTCTCTTGTGATTGCAAGAAGCCAAGACCTACTGAGGTTAACCATTTTTTTCCTTCCGGGCCTACTTTCTTGCTTTTAAAGACAATTCCCGAATGACTTCTTAGTTTAGGAATAATTAAGGCAAAGGAAGAAAACATGCTTTTATAGCTGCAAAAGAAGGTGCTAGATTTTAAAAGTAGATTGTGGTATATAATAGTTTTGTCTCTTGTGATTGCAAGAAGCCAAGACCTACTGAGGTTAACCATTTTTTTCCTTTCATAGATAAAATATAAGAATTAAAATACATATAAACACAAGGTATATATGGTTCAGCATTCTTCTTACCAACTGATTAAACCTGAGAATAATTTTAATTGTTGAAATATATTACCTTTAAATGTATTCAACATTTTGTGGTGTACTTCCTACATGCAAAGCATTGTGCCAGGCAATGGAAATAGATACAAGCAGGACAGGTGTGGCCTCCTGACTTCAAGGATTCTAGCAAAAGAAGCAGTTAAATAGGCATTTATAAGAAAGAGTTATGATAGAGAAAACATAGCATTCGATGAGACTGCATAACCAAAACACCTTTAGAAGACTTTCTAGAAGTCAGTTAAGGTAAGAAGCTGGAAAATGGGAGGAGTCCGCTATGAAGGAGATGAAAAGGGAAAAGTGTTAGAGGAGTCAGCTTCTGAAAGGCTGGAGGTGTAGAGATCATCTATAAGATGTTTAATAGTTATGCATTTGAGAAGTTCATGATTAGTTATGAAGGCAACTAATAGACATAGTAGCCTAAAATAAATACAGTGTTTAATTTTTATCTAGTCCATTTATGTAGGTTCTTGAAGGCCATCCTCAAATATTTCTCTGTGAAACTTCCCAAACCTACTTTAGCTAAAAGACATCACACTGTAAATTCAGTTCTCGTTGTCTCTGTTATGCTATTGACAAGTAATCACATTGTCATGTCCTTTTTTTAAAATCTAATTTTTGAATCCCTAATCATTTCTGTGTTTATGTTATCTCTTCAGATAATATAGTGAGCGTCCTGAACCTTGAGCTTGTTGAACCTTGTATATAGTAATAAAAAGCTCAGTAAGCAGGGGTTTAGTCAATTAGCAGGTAACGGAATACAAAAGAAAGTCTAGTTGCAATCTGAGTTTTCTTTCATCTCACTCTGATATTGCGTAACTCCTCTGGATTAAGGTTGTCTTTTCTGTCAGATGACAGAATCAGCTCTTCCCAGTGGAGATGGGCTTGGAGGGATGATGTGACTTTTCAAACTAAGTAGTAAAGTTGGGTTTTCTTTGAGGGCCTTAGCCACTCTAACAACCCTTGAAGAGCAAAGTGTTGAATGAGGGCTATTGTTATGGAAGGGAGTATAATGCACAGGAAACGCCCAGAAGTGAAGGTAAGATTTCACATGGGTAGTTGACTTTTGACTTTATTGTAATTGACACCAATCAGAGACTTGTGCACATATATACTATGTTTGACTCCCTTATTTTATCTATGGGTAAAGTTTATAGGCAGTTCAAATCAGATTGGTGAAGAAGGAAGTGTGTATAGTTACTGTGACTAAGGTGAAACTGAATTTATTACCTCATTGTGATGAAATGCCTGCTAACTTCTATGTAAAGGAAGATGATTGAAATGGGAGAATGGAGCCTTTAGTCCCTGTGATAATTGAAAATAATCTTTTTTTTCCTGCCCCCTTATTCATATAATGGTCAGGCCAATATCTTGCCTTTTTTGATATTATTTAAAAGAATAATAATATAAAAGAAAGAGAATTTTAAGAAGCCCAGGGAATATAAGGTATGTAGGAAAGACAGCTAAAGCTTGAGAGATATTCTTTTATTATAAAAGAGTATAGTTTGATTTTATGCTGCAGTATTGTTAAAAAAATTATAACCCTAAGTTATAAAAATCTATATTAGTTCAATTGAACATAGTTATGTTTAAAAGGAGACATTTCTAGCAATAATATTAAAATAAAAGCTTTGTCCTTAAAAGATGTAAACAATGAGTCTAGAAATTTTGGCTAATCAGAATAACTGTAATCTTCCCCACAGACAGCCACCGTCAATAATAAAGATTAGTGTCATCGGTTGGAAACTATTCAGAGGCGAGAATTGAAGCCGGGTAGCATGTTGGAATAAGTCAGCCAGTTGTGATTGAAAGCAATAAAGACTACACTCAACTACACTTAAAAGTGCTTAGTAGTATTTTCACCATGATATTGAAGAGGCAATAGGAGTATCAGTTTGGTTTGAATAATTTAAAGTTGTCAAGTTGAATTGATTAAGGATGAAGAAAATAAAATTTTTTTAAAAAGGATGAAGATAGTCAGAAAATTAATAGCTACTATTTTAATTGACAAAACTTACTTAAAAATGCACTGTTATGAACAGTGACGTGCTAAAAAGGAACTGGTGTATGGAGAAACTTCAAAAAATGTTTTTTAGAGTTCATGGATATACCAGATTTTTATGGAAACGAGGATTATTTTAATTACATCCTAGTTAAGTACAGTCACTTAATGTTCTAGTTGCTTTTAATTGCAGAACCTCATGGAAATTCTCTTTCAGGAAGATTCTTCAATCAGTATGTCATCCAACACAGATGTTTCTCTTTCTTCCTATGATGAAGGTCAGGGATCTAAATTTATCCGAAAAGCTAAAGAGGCACCATTTGTCCCTATTGGTAAGTTTGGCTTTGACGTTCTGATAATCAGTCCATTGTATGCTGTAACACAACCGAAGTGTGATCGATTCGTCAAATACATCCATAAGCATTATTTTCAAATGTTTTTTCAGGTGTGGTTGAAATATGCTGAGATTGGCATGATATAACTGTCATTATAGCAATGCTTCTGTGTGTATTTAGACTTCTTGCTTTATTGACTCTTCTTTCAGTGAATGTGTTGGGGCCTGGATCCCCTTAGTCTCTGTGGTTTGCTAGAAGGACTCAAGAAGCTTATCTTTTGGTTTTGGTTTTTTGTTTTGTTTTGTCTTTAATATATTTTATTGATTTTTACAGAGAGGAGGGGAGAGGGATAGAGAGTTAGAAACATCGATGAGAGAGAAACATCAATCAGCTGCCTCCTGCACACCCCCTACTGGGGATATGCCCGCAACCAAGGTACATGCCCTTGACTGGAATCGAACCTGGGACCCTTCAGTCCGCAGGCCGACACTCTATCCACTGAGCCAAACCGGTTAGGGCTTATCTTTTGTTTTTTCATTCTTTATTGTTGAAAGTATTACTTATGTCTCCTTTTCCCCTCTCATGAGGCTTTTTTAAAAAAGCTGTTCTACTCACAGTTACGGTTTATTACAGTCTCTGTTATATTAATTGATTCCCTTTAGAGAGGGAAGTAGGACAGAAAGGAAGAGTTCCCCTGGTTCTCTTAAAGGAATTTATCTACTGGCTTCACAAGCCCACATTTTGAAGATCTTAACTTTATGAGTCTGCTACTTTTTGCTACCATCTCAGGATTTTTGGTTCTGAGTAGAGGAATTAAAAATACAACATGTATGTTAACTAATTAATGATCTCATAAGCATCCTATATAAAAAAGAGCTAATATGCAAATGGTCATCGCACCCTCGTGCTGGGGTCGGGGGACCTGAGACCAGGCCAGGGGATCAGAGGCCGCGCCCCCCCACCCCCACCCCAGCGGGGCTTGACGGGGGGGGGGGGGGGGGGATGGAGTGGGGCCGGACGGGTCTGGGTCTTGCTCAATTTCAAGGCACATGTGGGTGGGTAGGGACTTGACTCTGGGTCCTGTGGTATGCTCCAGACTCTGACAGGAGGGAGATTTTCACATACATTTTACTAATTTTCTTTCATCTCTGACACTTCTATTATAGAGAAAGGGCAAATAGCAATATTAAAATATTTCCTCTAAATAATTCCCTTTTAATGTGCATGTGCACTGGGCCACTAGTTTTTATATAAAATAGTAGAAAGTACATTGATTGGTGGTGAAATCATCTTGGTTCCGTCCCCGTGTATCTGACATAATTGTGACTATTTGTTTCTCAGGAATGGCGGGTTTTGCAGCCATCGTTGCATATGGATTATATAAATTGAAGAACAGGGGAAATACTAAAATGTCCGTTCACCTGATCCACATGCGTGTGGCAGCCCAAGGTTTTGTTGTGGGAGCAATGACTCTTGGTAGGTACCTACAGGAAATTTCAAATTTGTGGTTTCCCATTAATGAATTTCTTTGTTAATAAAACAAGGTACATACTTTTAGCTAACTTTGAAGCACTTTTCAGATATCACTTATATTTATTTTCCTAGAAAAGTGATTAAAAATAGTTCAATTCAATAGTGACATAAATTTACTGTGTATGATACAGGGTGGGGCAAAAGTAGGTTTATAGTTGTTCATATGGAAAATAATACAATCATTAATAAATAATAATACAAGAATGTATTCACAACT